GTGGAAATTTCAAGACTTCAGCGAAAAGAAAAATCTTTAAAAAATACAAAAACAACTGCAAAACGGCAAATTATCGGTAATTATGTTTGTAGTTTTTCAATATTTCCCTTTTACCTAAAGTCTTGAAATTTCTACACCAAATAGAGTTTTTCAATAGCTTCAATTTGATATATAGCCCAACGTTCAGTGTTGAGCATTTCTGCTCATAACTCAGAAAAACTAAAATGCACTGGTTTCAATTTCCCCCCTTGAGTTAGCCTTCCAGTTTATTTATAGTTCAATGGATAACACACGATTTTTCATATAACGCTGTAAATTTTGGATAACACACGGCTTTTCATATAACGCTATAAATTTTGGATAACACACGACTTTTCATATAACGCTATAAATTTTGGATAACACACGGCTTTTCATATAACGCTATAAATTTCGGATAACACACAACTTTTCATATAACACTTTCAATTTTGGATAACATACGATTTTTCATATAACAATTTCAATTTTGGATAACACGATTTTTCATATAACTTTAATTATGATCCTTTGCGAGCTTACGGGCTGCTAGAGCACGTGGGCAAGGAACTTGAAATTTTTATAGTACATGCACATGTTTTATACGTCACTGAATTTAAAATCTAAATATTTCGCAAATCCTAAATTATGACATCCTCTCGTGTAAATATTAGTGGGAACACAGCTATAGGGAACTTTTGAAAAATTGTGCTAGTAATCTTGACGAAGCGTCGCGATTGTTATTAAAACGAGGAAAATGCTCAGAGTGATTTTCGGACAACCACTGTGAAGTACGCATGAGATTCAACATGACATTCAACATGATATTCAATATGGTGTGAACTCACTCATTTCAATTACTCAGAAGTAAAAATGAAAAATATAGCCATTTCTTCTCTCTTCCAACTGAATTAGAAAGAAAGAAATCATACAGTTCGTATTAACTAATTAATAACTTTATGTTTTATTGCACACAAAGCAACAAACGCGCCAGAGTTTATTTAAACATGCAGTTCTACACAAAATGTGCAGTTCTCAATCCATTTGTGCAGTCCTTGAAACTCAAATGTGCAGTCACCAAACTAACAAAAATAGCCTTAATTAAAACAGTCATCTCATTTACTCGTTACCCTTGTGGATGCTCCAGAAAATTCCAGAATTGCTGTCATTAATTGAGCATCAAAAATATAAACGTTTTCTGGGGGAGGACTCAGACCTGCTATTTTCCTCACAAATCACTTACGTGCTGGCGTGATGGAAAAGAAAGTAAAATCGAGGCGAGCGAAGCTCCCCAAAAGAGATTAGAGTGGGAGAACCTAATATTCATAATAATCTTAAATTTGCATTTGAGGCAGCTCCCCGGGGGTAATTGTTAGCGTAGCTACCAATTAAATTAAACTGATCATGCATGTAATTTATGTTAATTACCTTGTTATTGATATATATATATATATATATATATATATATATATATATATATATATATATATATATATATATATATATATATATATATATAATAATTTAATATTTTAATACAATTTTTCAATTGAATAAGTTGCTACTTTAAGTTTCATGCAACAAGCAATCATCAGGCAACAACGATGTTGCCTGATGATTGCTTGTTGCATGAAACTTAAAGTAGCAACTTATTCAATTGATAAATTGTATTAAAATATTAAATTATTATTATATGCTCTACAATTGTCTTGTATTGAGCACTCTTTATTCTTAAAAACGGGAAATCACTTTATGAAATTATATATATATATATATATATATATATATATATATATATATATATATATATATATATATATATATATATATATATATATATATATAATTCAATTTATTTTGGTTGTCTAGATATATAAAGTGCTCAATACTAAAAGTATAGCAGAGCTTATTAGATTGTCTATATCTTAAAATTAAATATCGCTACTCTGAGTTTCACGTCCTTTCTAGACGATAATCAGGCGATTTT